AGGGGGATACAGGTAGGTAATTATATTAAAGTCATGAGAAGGGCATGAATTTTACCCAAATATTCATGCCTAGGACCAGGATTGCGCGGACCAATAACAGTTAATAGGTCTGACAAACACCATAAGACGCAGTGAGTGTCATTGGTGTTTATAACAACTTGCTTGTGCCCAACTTCTGAAAATGTTTCATAGGATCGAAACATTTGTTTCAGTTGAGGAGCTGAATGGTGGACTTTATAAACAATGCACAACTGAGCATCAATTTTCATACAGCGGGAAGTGTCATCCTATGGAGCAAAGGAGTAGTCCACATTTTGAGTAAGATGATCTAAGTACCCTGACCTTACTTCAAACCAAGTTGAAGGCGGACGCCCCCACCTGTTGCTAATTTTTTTGTGCCATCTAACCTTGTCATGGGACAAGTGTACATTCCATAATGGTACTTATTGAAGAGCAGAAGATGACAAGCCACCAATAGAGGTGTTTGTAGACGAGGGGAAGACGCCATAGCGGAAGGAGACAAGGAAAACCCTAAAAATTCAAGTTTTGTGCTCTCGATTGATGCAACGACCACAGATCAGCAAGAGGGCGGGGGAGGAGGAGGACAGATCCGGCGGGTTGAGATCGGCGGCGGAAAGGGGGGAAAGATCCGGCGAACGAGAGGAAAGCGCGCGAGGGCAGCGCAGAAGACTTGCAGGGGGGCGCGTGGAGGGCGTGCGAAGCTGGGAGGTCCGTTCTGCGCCGATCTTCGTACGACGGTGGTCGCCCGGCAGAGACGATTCCGATGGTGTGTCGCCGGGCGATCTGGAAACTTCGGCGACGGCGGCGGCGGCGGCGGCGGCGACGGCAGCGGCGACGGCGGCAGCAGCAGCGACGGCGGCAGTGAGGGGTGCCGGAGACCGTGGAGTTGACTGGAACTATTCCTGTGCTCTAGATACCATATGAGAAATAGAGAAGATTGGGAGAGAATATCCCTTGTGTGTGTTGCATACACATAGGGTAATTTATTTATATTGTAAGATATGGGCCAATGCCCTTAATACATAATAGACTAAGCCCAAATAACAGAAACACACATCTTAACATCTAACAGTTATAAAGGACTAGCAGTATAAAATTTATTCTTTTTAGCATGTACGACGATAGTGTTGTTTGTAAAATTTCTTAAAATCTTTTTTAATTATATTTTTCCAGGTGTGGGTAAACCCATATTACCTGCAGTTTTCCAGGGCGAGTTCGGTCTGTTAAAATTGAAGCTCGGTTAAGATGCGGGCTATAAAGTCAGACTTTTTGAATATAGGTTTACGTGTGTGTAAGCTTAAATAAGTGGGTTCAACCACATATCCAGCTTTACTTGTAAATTACATACCATTTCAATAGTTCAACAACACAGTTAAGTAAATTAGTAAAATAACTATCTACAATACTAAAATGATAGTCTAATAATGCATGATTAGAGTATAAGTTTAAACTACACCGAATAAATAAGTTCCACTCATTTCAGCAATTGAATTTGAAATTGAAGATGTGTAAACAAAAGCAATTAAACGTGTAAGATTAGCCAAAGTTAGGCTGTTAACCAGTCTTGTACAGTCTACACAGATAGCAATTTTTTACGTATTCTATTCGCAATAGAAGTAGCAATAATCTCGTGCCTTAAAATATTAATTTTCCTTGAATCGTTTTGCAGCCACCAGACCAACACCAGCGGCTTTCTTCGTGTTTTGACAAGCTTATGACAGATGTGACGCTCAGCTTGGATGGAAAAAACAGGGATAAATTCGCTCAGAACCTGACCAAGTTCAAGACTGAGTTTTGTGCCAAATAGAATTTCTTTTGGCAGAATAATTTTGGTCAGCCCAGAACCATATCGTATTTGCTTTTATTCTCTTTTATTTTTTAGGGTCCTTGTACATCTTTACCATGATTCGTTTTTGTTCTTTCTGGAGGGGAATGAGATTATTTTTTTTTTGGGGGGTTGTGGGATTTGTTTGATGAAAGGTTTGGTCACACATTGGCATACCCTAGTTGAACTGGTATTTTGAAAGGGATAGAATATAGCAATTCCTAGTTGCACTGGAATATTTAGATAAACTGAGGCCAATATGCCCTGGATTAAACCATTTATCTTTCTCCTTTTAAACTAGCTGAAATATTGGTAAATTGAAAGGGGGGTATTTGTAAATTGTAGGTACTTACTTAAATCAGTTCTAGTGCTTACAATATATGATATAATTTGTTAATACTTAATGACTGGCTCCTTTTTTATTTCTTCCTTTCATATACAGTTTCGAAGAATCATTAATATTTTCTTCACATATACCCTATTGAATAATTGTTATAATTTTAGTATAAATAGTGAAATATTGAATTAGAGTATTGTAGTCTAAATAGAATAATGTTTTATATATTCTAAATAGTTTTGTAATGCGTTTTAACATCAATGAATATGAAAGAGAGATAGTTCACTTTAGATTACTAACATTAATTAAATTATGAAATATGAAAACTAATTTCAAGAGTAATTTGAAATATTCTGTATAAATTTATATTATTATCTACCGGCACTTATAATTGTATGCCAAGTGTTGATTTTTATAGCAATTCTTCATTTAGTTCCAATTTTTTTTTTTGACAAGGATTTAGGGAAAAAAATGGTTTGCAATGTTTCAAAATATAACATAACTAACATTAATGTCTTGTTTTAAATATGTAAATGTTCTCAAAAAATAATTACTATATTTTGATTGGTAATTTGGCATTAGTTGGCATATCTTTATAAGTTGTGACAAATAGAATGTCACGTGATAAGGTTATCCAATGTTAAGAACGTCCTGTTGCACCCTCATAATTTTTAAACTGATTATTTTACTATTATAAGTGACTTTTCTTTTCAGAACTAAAATTCTGGAATGAGATTTCTAAAAAACAAAAATATTAAAATGAGTTTTTTAGAACAAGTTTTTTGAAATAAGTTTTTAAAACAAGAATTCTAAAATGAGAAATATTCCGCAACATGTTAATATGGGTGTAATTAGTAGTAGGCAATTTCTTCCTGCACCCCATAAGTAAACTGCAAAGTAAATTTTTGCTTTCTAAATTTTATAATGTGTAATGTAAATTCATATTCTTAATTGTAGAATTCGTAATGTAATTTTATATTTCAGATTATATAATTCATAATACAAATTAATTTTTCAATTTGAAAGGTCAAATGTAAATTTATTTCTGATGTCCTTAAATTGATGTAATTATCATTTATTATTAGAGCATCAAATATAAATTCGTAACAATTAATTACAAGTTTGTATTGATATTTTTTATGCTAATTCTTGATAATAGGAGACGTGATAGGGGGAATTTTGGGTTTGTGTAAAGAAGATTTACAATAAAGAGCACAGTTTAACATAGACTAAGAAGAGTTTATCATTCTAGGATAAATTATTTAGTGTTATATGTATTGCTAAGATGTTTGAGTGCAACATTTTTGCATGTAATGCAAAATATTTTATTGATGGATCAATAGTTTTTATATTAGGATCAATGAATCCTTTAATATCATCCTTCAAGATGATTGTTGAATTTGTTATAATATTCATTTTCTTTCTATTTTAATTAGTTAAACCAATCTTCAATNTCTCTTCTTCCTCACTGTGAACTACGGTAACTTCATTGCTCAGATCTTGGAAATTCATGATTCACATATTTAGTACCATTAAGAGACCTAATTCTTTTGATATTTTTTCGAAATTGATTTTGGACAAGACAGAAAAAATTACCAAAGATTTGGAAAACTTTTGATTTATTTTTCATAAGGTATATCCATGTGACACGGAAATAAATTATACAACCGGTCTCCAAACGTCAGAGTGAATTGATTTAATCAATTGGAGGATGATGTTTTTACAATTGACAAATATCACAATTAAAAGATTCAACAAACTCCTTGGTAAACAAAAGGGGAAACAAGGACTTTATAAGATTGAATGAAGGATATCGAAGCCTTTTATGATGTAACCATATTTGGGAATTTGCTCACGTCTCAGATGTAGCTTGTTGACTCATGATTTTTGTTGTGCTTTGGTCATCAGACTCCAATCGATACAACCCATTCTGCTCCTTAGCAGTTAAAATCATCTTCCCCGTGGCAAGATCCTGAAAAACACAATAAGTTAAGAAAAATGTTATTGAACAATATAAATTGTTCGAGTTTTTGTATAGAGATAAGACTATTGGCTAATTGTGGAACATGTAAAACATCCTTTAATACAATAGATGAGTCTAAAATTATATTCTCGAAGCTGCATATAGGTATACCCTGACCATTCGCAACTATAATAAGTTGTTATCTATTTCTTTTACCATGAGTCAAAGGACACACAGAAAAGAATCATATAATGAGTTGCTCCTAAATCAAGAATGCAAATACCTTGAGACACATGATCAACAATATTGAGACAAATCTTACCTTTCATGCACATAGTACATGATCTAGAGAGCTTATTCATTGGTTCAACCATTACTTTCAAGCGCTCGAGTTCCTCGTTATAAGCTTTCATATCAAGATCTAGTGGTGGTGAAGGACTAGATTGATTGGTGGCGTCATGTTCTGAGGTAGTATGATTTAGCCGTATTTGAGCAGACCCTTTGTTGTTTCCCATGCGCTCGAGAACATCATTTCTTCCATGGAGTTTGAAGCATGTTTCCTTGGTATGTCCAGATCTTTTACCGTATGAACAATAGTCTCCACGATTACTTTTTTTCAAACGACTTACCCCCATCAAGCATGTCAGCTCTTTGAGTTCCTTCCTCTCTTACCATAAAAAATACTCTTGCTGGTATTTTGATCACTAAACTCTTGCTCCTATGATCCAATTATGGCCTTTTGGTTTTCAAATTCCTAGTTACATAAATTAATAATTGTTCTGTGTGAGGAGAACAAATAAAGCTCCATGCTTGGGAATGGTATAAGGCTCCAGATATAACGAATTGCCCAGTGTTTATCCAGTGGCCTTACTGTCTAGATCTCTGCATATCCAAAGCGCTGCATGGTCACATATAGTAGGAACAAAGGCACCACAGTTATTATGAGAAATAGAGAAGATTGGGAGAGAATATCCCTTGTGTGTGTTGCATACACATAGGGTAATTTATTTATATTGTAAGATATGGGCCAATGCCCTTAATACATAATAGACTAAGCCCAAATAACAGAAACACACATCTTAACATCTAACACTCCCCCTCAAGCTGGAGCATATAAATCATATGTTCCAAGCTTGTTACAAAGATAATCAATTCTAGGTCCTCGTAAGGACTTAGTGAATATGTCTGCCAACTGGTTGCTTGAGTTAACAAACTCAGTCTTGATATCTCCGGATATGATTTTTTCTCGAATGAAATGACAATCAACTTCAATGTGTTTGGTTCTCTCATGGAAGACAGGGTTAGAGCTAATATGGAGAGCAGCTTGATTATCACATATAAGTATCATGTGAGTGACATCTCCAAATTTCAATTCACTAAGCAATTGTTTAAGCCACACAAGCTCGCAAGTAGCTGATGCCATAGCTCTATATTCTGCTTCTGCACTAGACCTTGCCACAACACTTTGCTTCTTACTTTTCCAAGATATCAGGTTGCTACCAATAGAGACACAATATCCAGAAGTAGACCTCCTATCAGAAGGGGAACCAGCCCAATCAGCATCTGAATAACAAACAATTTTTGTATCGTTGTTAGGGCCATATAGCAAACCTTTTCCAGGTGATCTTTTAATATACTTCAGTATGCGAACAACTGCATCCCAATGGTCTTCACATGGGGAGTTTAGAAATTGACTCACCACACTAACTGCGAAAGAAATGTCAGGACGCGTAACAGTAAGATAGTTTAATTTACCAACTAGTCTTCTGTACCGTTCAGGATCTGAGAAAGGCTCCCCCTGATTTGGTAGGAGTTTGATGTTAGGGTCCATAGGTGTCTCAACAGATTTACAGTTCATTAACCCTGTTTCCTCCAAGATGTCTAACGCATACTTCCTCTGAGATATGACAATACCATCATTGGATTGTGCTACTTCAATACCCAAAAAGTACCGGAGTTTGCCAAGATCTTTGGTTTGAAAATGATGACAAAGGTGTTGTTTCATCTGAGAGATGCCAAGATAGTCGCTTCCTGTGAGAACAATATCATCGACATACACTATTAAGTAGATACATCCAGCACTCGAGTGGCGATAGAACAC